CCATAGGACAGAGTAAAACTGCCTCATAGGGTTTCCAGGGAGCAGCTGGTAGATTTGAACTGCTGACCTTTTGGTCAGCAACCAAGCAATAATCCACTTCACCACCAGGGCTCCATAATGGACTACAGATAATATTATTTAAGTGTTCTGGCTCTTCTTGTTTTTGTTGGTGGCAGGGGTTGGGGGGATAGCATGAAGGTATGGTATTCAAAGCTTAAAAGGTAAAAAGACCCCCAAACGTTTGTCATACTGGGGGCTGGCATGTTGCTGTGATGCTGGAAGCCATGACACGGGTATTCAAACACCAGTAGAGTCACCCATGGTGGACAGGTTTCGCCTGAGCTTCCACCCTGAGGAAGAATAGGAAGGACCCAGCAGTCTACTTCTAAAAAGAATTAGCCAGTGAAACCTTATGAACAGCAGCAGAACACTGTCTGATATAAAGCCAGAAGATGAGCACCTCAGTTTGGAAGGCACTCAAAATAAGACTAGAGAAGAGCTGCCTCCTCCAAGTAGAGCCAATCTAAATGACGTGGATGAAGTCAAGCTTTCAGGATCTTCATTTGCTGATGTGGCATGACTCAAAATGAGAATAAACAGTTGCAAACATCCATTAATAATCAGAACCTGGAATGTACGAAATATAAATCTAGGAAAATTGAAAATCATCAAAAATGAAATGGAACTCATAAACACTGATATCCTAGGCATTAGTGACCTGAAATGAACTGGTACCAGTCATTTTGAATTGGACAATCATAAGGTCTACTATGCCAGGAATAACAACCTGAAGACGAATGGTGTTGCATTTATTGTCAAAAGGAACATTTCAAGATCTATCCTGAAGTACAAGGCTGTCAGTAATAGGATAATATCCATACACCTACAAGGAAGACCAGTAAACACAACTATTATTCAAATTTACGCACCAACCACTAAGGGCAAACATGAAGAAAGTGAAGACTTTTACCAACTTCTGCAGTCTAAAATTCATCAAACATGCAATCAGGATGCGCTGATAATTACTGGTGACTGGAATCCCAAAGTTGGAAACAAAGAAGGACCAGTAGTTCGAAAATATGGCCTTGGTGACAGAGATAAAGCAGAGATTGCATGACAGAATTTTCCAAGACCAATGACCTCTTCACTTCAGATTCCTTTTTTCAACAATATAAATGGTGACTATACATGTGGTCTTTGCCAAACAGAATACACAAGAATCAAATTGACTAAATCTGTGGAAAGAGACAATGGAAAAGCTTAATATCATTCAGAACACTGCCAGGGACTGACTTC